CTTGGTCTCTGCTATCCTTTTTCGATCACTTTCTCCAAATATAGCCATAAATAGTTCCAAGAATGAGTTCAAATCATAGAGTAATCGTGAATCTTTTTCCATCAAAGGTGTGAACTAAGAGAGAGCACTTCCAAATAGAAGTGCTTCTATGAATCGAACTTGAGTAAATCCATCAGGATATTGGAAAGGATGCAACCTTAAGTAGAGTTTGACTTGTTGCAAAAACCCTCGAAATCTTGATCTTGTTCTGTCAAACTTTTTAGGCATATTAATCCTTGCCTCCTTCGAGCTTGTAAAAACAAAACTCCCGAAATTTGGTTATGAGGCTAATCAACTTGTTTCCTTCAACTGCAGAACTTCTTGGCATAGACTCTGAACTTCTTCCATAGTGGTAGGAATAGTGCTTCCATGATTGGTATTGGTGATGCTTGAAATTTCGGTCCTAAGAGTGTTGACAAGCTCATGAAGATCTGCAATAGTTGCAAATCTATTTTCACTTCCACCAAGTATAATATCCATGATTTTTTCTTCCATAGACAACTAAGACAAATTCAAAAGTTAAATAAGAGGAGGGTAATCTGCAACCTCTAAAAATAAATTCCACAAAGAAGGGTAATCCACTCTCTTTAAAGAAAAGATCAATATTAGAAAACAAGATTTTTTGTTTAAAGGTGGATAGTTTGCAACCTTCAAAATACAATAATAGAAGTTGGATTATCCACTCACTTCTAGAACAAGACAGAAACAATATGTTAGCACTCTTTTCAAACTATCAAGGACATGAACTCCAAAGAAAGATAATCTCAATACACTCTTGTGTCACTCGAAAATACTTAGAAATTACTCAAAAGTGATAATATATTGAACTAGAATGACTATTGCCAAAGACTAGAAAATATGACGACTCTTGAAACTAGACTGGAAATAAGAAATGAGTTGACAAGAGTGAAGAAGGCTTCACTCTTGTCTCTATATATACTGTCTAACTAGGGGCTACGTGGTAATGTTCTATAGGACCTTCAATATGTGTTGACTTTATAGGATACTTGCCTTGACTTACAAGGCAAGTTTTTCTACATGTGGGCCACATAATTAGCTTAGTCTTCAAGCTAACAACATGTGTGGCATATGGCCAACTTGTTGACCACGTTTCTAATCCAAAAAGTCAATTAAAGACACCTATGAAGTCAAAGCAGCGTCTATGAAGCTTCTAGGAAGATTTCGTATCAAATACTATAGAATTAATTTACTTTTATTTATTTTTACTTACTTCTACTTATTTATATATGTAATTATTAGCTTACATGAGTATGTCCATGATACCTATGGACTTATTTTATAAATATTTCTTAATCAAGTTGGCTATGTAGAAATATAATTTTGATTTTGAACTACCTGATGTGTATGTCTTTTTGAAAAACTATAATAAGAATAAGTTGGATTGAGTCAAATTTTATAATTTGAAAGTAAGTCTATATATAATCAATTCTATATTAATATGAACAATCTTTAACAAGTGAGTGGGCCTTGAAACAATTGATGACACCATCAATCTTGGTTTTAAGAGCAAAGAAATACTTGCAATTCACTATTTTTTGCCCAAATGGCAAGTCAATGAAATTCCACATTTTTTTTATTAGTAAGGACTTGAATTCATTTTACATGGCTTTTAATCAAAGTATCAAATGTAGTGAATAAAGAGCTTCATAAAAAGATTGTGGAATTTTTGAAGTATTGACAAAGTATTTAAAATTAATTTGTATATGCAACAAAGTCTTATCATAATTAGGAAAAATATAATGTGAGTTTCTAGTTGAGTAACCAAATTAGAAAAGAAGTCACCATTGTCATTGTATAGAAAGAGAATTAAAAAAAAATAAAATTAAATGAGGTTTTTCAATTGAATGAACACGTGAAGATGATGTTGGTGATATTGGTGATTATTCTTTGTAAGTTAGATTTGAAGTAAGATCATAAATAAATAGAATAGCATCATGAGTAGAAGATGATGTATTTCTACTACTTATATCTTTCAAAATTTCTTGGTTGATCTTCAATGATATTAGATAAAGAATAATTTATATAAATAGAATTTGATAAGTCAATTGTATGAGAATTAGAAACTGAGCTAATAATATTAGTATTCATAAGATGGTCAGGATGGTTTGTATGATGATGATCAAATAAACGATCAAAAAAATGGAAAGGGCACCTTGATAGTAGCAATACTAGAAGATTCATTTTTTGAAAATGATGTATCTTTTATATAATTATGTTTATCAAAGATTACATTATTATTTATAATAATTCATTGACTTTATAAGTTCCAAATCTAATATTTCTAAGAAGTATCTAAATAGCTAAGAAAGAATCAAGTATGACTTTTAGGATCTAATTTCTTGTATAAGTAATGAAGAATATGAGTATATACTTTATAACCAAATAGCCTCATATGAGCTAATAATGGCTTTATTTTTGTATGAATCTCAAATGATATCATGTGTAGATTTAATTGTAAACAAGTACAATACAGTGTATATATAATGTTATCTACTATTTGTGCCTAAAAAGAAATGTCAATTTTTATATAATAGATTATACTCCAAATTGCCTCTATAATTGATATGTTATTTTATTTTTGAAACTATTTTATTTTGGAGTGTAAAAAATGGTGAATTCATGCTTGATCTCCTATAAATAAAAAAAATTAGTAAAGCTTCTATTTCAAAACTCACCAATGTAGTTAGTTCTTAGAGTAAATACTTGACAATTAGTGTTTCAAAGAGTATTCTTGCAAACTTGTTGAAAATATTTTAGAGTATTAGATTTCTTAAAAATATAAAAGACAAATCTGTGATGTATGTGATCATCTTGAAAAAATATATAATAGAGTGATCTACTATAGCAAGAGATGCTCATTGGTCCATACATATCATAGTGAATCAACATTCTAATATGTGTTGCTTTGATTTTGTTGATATTTTTAGAAAAAATACTCTATAATTAACCAAATACATAGCTAGAACATAAGATAGGAAGTTTTGTTGTCTTTAGTCTTAATCCATTTAGAGAGCCATTAATGGCCATTTTTCATATCATATCATGATGTAGGTAGCTTAGCCAAAGGTGCCAAGTTTGAATATATTGAAGTTCTTTGGAAGAATGCAAATTTCCATGAGATGCTATATAAAAAACAATTGTGGAAGGAATTAAGATGGTGAAGTCAAGAAGATAGGAATTGTAAAGTATTCTTCTGATTATTGTGAGATTGTTTTCTTGAAGAAGCTTACAAATGTTGTGTTTATAAAGTATAAATATTTTATGTTTTCAAGCAAATTTGGTGAGGATGAATAGATTTCTTTTAAATCTAAGAATGTATAAAACATATATAAGTAAATGAACTTCAATTCTATTAGATAGTTATATAAGAATTTAAATATCTTCCATACTTGTCACATAATAATAATATCTTGCTAGAATTTTCATGAACCATATTGCATCCAATAGTAATGGCTTGTAATTTAAAAAAAAAAATTATTATAGAAGATCCTAATTAAAAATATATAATAAAAAAACATATATAAATGATAGGCACGTAGTAAAATCTATTTGTATTAGAACTACTTTTTATGAAAATGGATTCTATTTACTTTGAAGAACCATAAGTAAGAAAAAATAAGGTAGTTTAGAAAAAAATAATATAGGCATATATAAGAAGAAGTTAAGAGTTGATTTTAGCAAAAATTACTTTAAGAAGAGAAGAATTGATACTTAGAGAGGACCAATTGCCAAGAAGAATCAAAATCAAATTCTAAGGTATAAAACCAAGTACCTATGGTGACTTCAAGGTTCTTTTATAAATTAAATAATGGATATTGAAAGAAAACTTAAGAAAAGATTTTTGAGTGTTGATTTCATATCATTTGGATTAATATTGAGATTTTGAAAGATTTTCAAAGTAAATGATGTACTTGGTAGGTTTAGATTTTGAAGAAAAAAAATAGGCTTACAAATTTCACGATTTTATAAGTTTTGTAGTATATTTTTGTGTGAAAATTGGTCATTTGGTTGTTGTGCTTGTTGTAAATGTGTGTAAAAAATTTAAAATCAATCAAGCAATTAGATTGAAGCATATGAGGATTTTTGTGGATTATAGTCTCAAAAATTTGAGATTTAGGACTAATGAGTGATTTCAAGGTGTAGCAATATTTGTTAGTTGGATTGAAGCAAAATTTGGTGAAAATAATTAAGACTTAAATATCTATATAAGATCTAATTTTTAAAGCAATTAAATAGTTCAGCAAGGAGAAATTGGTATTAAATGATTAACATTTAAGTTGGAGAAGGATGGCGACCAATGATTGAGAGGTTTTGGAAGCTTTTTTTGCAATTGATAAGTCCAATTCTTCTCAAATTTTGCATGCTTGTTAATTTCTTGTTGATTGAAGTTTGGATGAAAGACTAGTTAAGATCTATAATTCAATTAATATTTATTGAAGTTTCAAATAGCTATATTAATCGATTAAAATTTACTTAGGATTTTTTTAGAATTATTTAAGGTTTAGGATTTCATTAAGGTTTGGTTTAGGATTAGGATTTAAGATTTATTTAAGATTTGATTAGAATTTGTATAGAATTTGATAGGATTTAATTAGGATTTAAGATTTCATTGAGATTTGATTTATAATTAGAATTTGGCCTAGGATTAGGATTTAAGATTGCTTAGGATTTTATTAGGATTTATTGAAGATTATATTAATATTTGATTATGATTTAATTCTGATTTTTATTTTTGATATTTTTTATAGATTTTAATGAAATATATATATATATATATATTTAAAAATTAATTTATTATTTTTTAATGTTTTTAATGTTTTTTTTTTTTTTTTTTTTTTTTTTTTTTTAAAAGTTTTTGGATTCAATTAAAGATTGATTTAATTAAAGATTGCAACAATGCAATCAACAAAACATTTATTAGTGCACAGATTAGAAGACTAGAACCCATAACCTTTTGTTTCAATATACAGAACTCATCACCCAATACACATTTATCAGGGTGCAATGAATCATTTTATTTTGAAAATTCACATTTATATCGAAATCTCGACGAGAAGTTATACTTTTAACTAGTAAATCACTAGTTACTAAAGGTAGGGCTTGTGTTATGTCGTTCGTCTCAGAGATCAGAGAATTCGAAGTTATGCTCTTCTCTTCAAAGACTACGTGGTCCAAGATATTGGGAGTGTTGGGTTTTGTTCTTGAGCATGCGAGGATTCAATCTTCGGTTTAAGTTGGAGAATGGGTTTAATTGTTGTTGAAGCATGTCGACGGTTCCAGGTAGCAACTTCGGCAAATGGATAAATAAAGCTACAAAAATCCAATGAGAAGTCCAGGTAATCCTTCCTTTACATAAGAAGAATCGAGACAGATGCTAGTGCTGTGCTGCATCATGAGCAGTTCAGCCTCCTCTGCAATTCAGCATTGTAACTTAGTTGTTTCTGATGCTCGTAGTCCTCGTCATCGGTTCGTAGCTCATAGCGACATATTGGGCAAGAGTTGTGGTTCTCCTGCAAAAGTAATCAGCCCAAAAGAGCACAGACGGCACAGTGTGTGTGTCGAGTTCAGCAGAGGAATCGGCTCCGAAGGTCAAACGCGTTGTGCTAGCAAACATGAAGGGGTTTGTGACAAGTATACAACTGGGAGGTCAGAATCTAACCAGCCAAGGTCTGAGGCACTCCAGATGATAGGGATGCTGGCAAGGCATCTCTTGCATATTGTCGCCTAGAACTAGAGGTTCCCGACAGACGGCACAGTGTGTATCTTCTCCAAGCCTTGCCAAAACTGAGCTGGTCACTACTGTAATGGAAAGCTTCTCTACCTCTTCCTTGGCAGCAGGTGGCGGTCCTCGACGGACGTTGCTGATCTCCTGCCGAAAGAACAACCGAGTCAAACCAAAGGCTCTGCTTACACAGTATGCATACTTGTATTCAGGAACAAAAGAATGGCAAAGATCAGTGTCAGGCTGTTGTAAATTTTGACATGGAAGTATCTGCATCTAATGAGTAACCGATGCTGATTCATGCAGTAAATTGACGAAATGGTGAGCATCCGCACTCCACCTTTACTGTCCACGTTGACCAATGTTTGATTGTTGAGTACCCTGAATGTACCTGAAGAGTTGCTTGAATTGCTTCTTGAAGACCTACAAACTCGTCTTCTATTGCTCGATTCCTAACTGCAAACGTCAAGTTCACACGCTGCAATATAACTTGAATCTCTCTGCCTAACTCCTCCATCGTCAATACTCTTAACAATCTCACGGTGGGATCGTCTGGAAAATACACATTGAGCTATCAAACACAAAACTACAAGCCGAATTTTCCTCATCGGACCCAGGGAGTGAGAAAACTGTGGCTATTAAAGTTCTAAAATCTACTGTACATGCAACAATTGGCAACAAGGATGCAAGGTTCATGATGTTAACTAAGAACCTATCAGGAGGACGTTTGGTACTTCTGGCTCCGGCACTAGAAGCACAGGCTCTGGTTCAAAGTTCGGCTCCTCAGGGGTAGCTACTTCTGGCTCCGGCACTAGAGGCACAGGGTCTGGTTTGAGATTTGGCTCTTCATAGGTGTCTTCTTCGGGCTCCGGCACCAGAAGCACAGGCTCTGGTTCAATATTTTTCTCTTCAGGGGTAGCTATAACTTCCACCATCTCTGTATCGTTAGGGTTGGTCAAGGTTCTTGGTTCGTCTGAACAAACATGGAGTTTGATTAAGCTTACAGACAAGGATTCCGTAAGAGCGGTTAACTCTTCACAGACTTCTTCAGCATGCTTCTTCTTTTTCTTCTTGTGAGAGCTGGGTTTAGTGAGAAAGCCTCGCTTTTCTTGGCAGTCTTGAGCTGCAGTCTGCACTGAGTTGAGTTTCTTTGGAGCGCTTCCCTCTTTTCGTGGTTTAGCTATTTTTACCCGGTCCAAACTTGATATCAGCTTCTCTCGACCCGCAAGTGTGCTTCGCAAATGTTGCAGTGGGTCATGTACCGAATGGATGTGACGGACAGAATTGCTGGGGTCGGAGGTGGTGGCAGCGGCCGCGGTAACCTCTTTCCGTTGCTGATCATCATCCAAAAACTCCTGAGCTACATCTGTACACAAGCGTATGTACATGAGCTCGTCGAGTTGCGTGATCACCATTTTCGCAGCTTGGAACAGCTCCAGCCCCACCCTCCAGAAATCCGTCCCCGTGAATTGGGTGGTCAAGAGAGTGGCCACCTTGGAAACTGTCGAGAACAACTATCCCCACCCATCCAATACGCTTCCCAGATTTAGAATATACACGCATGCTAATTTAACCACTGCCATGGCCTAGGATGGTGATAATGCCTTCATATTGAATGCAGTGGTGCTTGTAAACGAGATTTGAACAGCAAAACATCAACTCACCCACAGAGGGACAATGCCATCCCCTGCAGTCCGAAGACATGGCAAAGCGCTTTGCGTCAGCATTACAACTCGTATATAGAGTGCTCCAGCTCTCTAAAAACTTGAGAAAGGTCAATCCATACCTGACGTTGCTCTGAGCGGGAGGCAGACTTGTAGCGACTTCGCATCAGCGACGTTAAGATTACCACTCCAATCATGAACGATTCCTTGTATTTAATGTTGTCATGCAGCTTTGCCAAATGCCGTTTGATTGAGATTTCCTGACATCTCCCATATTCGTGGATTGAATGGACTTCCCTCCCTCTTCTCACCGTCATTGCCGAGCTGGGCTGGTGCTCCACTGCTCGTTTCTTGATGCCAGCCACACGCTCTCCAGTGAAGCGGCACCTTGAAATCAGCAAAATTCTGTCCATGCTTTCGTTGTCTTCCTGCATCTCCACGCTGAGGTTTTGAACGTGCAAATTATGCCAACTAAATTTCTCTTTTGTGCCATGCGCTCCAATACGTTGCGCACCTCAATTCCATGAGCCCTACTCAGAATTAAATCAGCGATATCCTGTGAACAGTTCACAAGATTCATGGTATAAATGCAATGCACAGACATTTGAGGATGCGTACATCTTGAATGCTCCCTACGAGTGAGAGCTTCAAGGACTTCAGAGGCAAACAATCCTGCTTCGTCAAGAGCACAATATGTCAAAGGTGCAAATAGGAGTGAAGAAGGCATTGCCAAATAGTGGGTTTAGAGGTACCTCCGTGAATCTGGCTGAAGTGAAAACTAATAAACATTCAAGGGCAACATACACACTACTGTACCAGCAGTGGACACGGCGGCCGTTTGGGGTTAGCATTAACAGCTGAGCACACGGCCAACGGACACAAGCTGGGCACAAAGCCCTTCAGACCCTTTCGCATAATGGAGGAAACTCAACAGACAGTGTACTATGCCGATTGATCGGCTCAGCCTCTAGTTACAACTGCTCCTCTAGTGCAATGGATTCTTTCCCACGGCAAACAGGTTGAGAGGTAACTGGTACCAAACGTCAGGTATTCTCTCATGGCTCCTACAACGTCATGACTCTGCAGACATGCAATCATTTTCCTTACATGTTGTTTACATAGTTGATCATGTGGGCTACTTACCCTGGATAACCGACTAAATTAAAACCAACAACAGAAGACAGAAGAAACGGAGTGGGAATTTTCGTCTTACTCCAATTCCTGGCAGCAGTGGGAAGCTGCAGTGTAGAAGTGAAAGTTGACAGTGAGATAAGAGTTGGTTGCAACGAAAATCACAATTCAGCTCTCATATTCTCAACATGGCTATATTCCGCAGCAATGATGCACGTGATGAGCGAACTAACTTAGCGGAAGCTAAGCGTTCAACATCATCGTCTGGGTACTCTCTAACATTGACCATTGTGGTATAGAGACAAAGATTGACTACAAACACTGGTGAAGATGGACTTTGCCTCATTGAAGGTTGTGAGCAGATATGTTACATCCAACCGACAATTTTACTCGAGGTGACCCATGCATGCGAACGCTGAATGCATGATGGCTCTCCGGGTACACGCTGAGAGAGGAATTGAAGCCAAAATAGATTCTTCATTTCTGACCAAAATCACCGCGGAAATCAAAGGTGGGGTTCAGGACCATAACAACGTTATTAATGCACCTCAATTAAGCATCTAGTGTTGAATGCACCAGATTTACGTTCGCTTGGCTATGATGCAGACCTTCGTCTGTTATACCTCAAGAGTATCACACAGGTGAAGAATCTGCATCATATCGTAGCGGATGCAAATGAATAATCTCAAATGCTGTAGATCCACTCATGTTCCTACAATCCCACGCTCTTCTCAGGCCAAAGTTCCCTTCAGAGGGTCACGAGCTCACACCACGCATGGCATTGCTCAAAACCTCTCCTCCCACACCAACAATAACACCAGCTGCGCCACCATCCGTACCAAGTAGAGGTTCTCCCACTGGTCACACAAGTAGGACAGGGTCCGGCTCCGAGTCAAGGAGCTGGAGGAGTACGCTTTGCAATCAGTGGCACCTTGGTGAGATGTATATATGCGAATCAGGGTTTTGATGAGGCGCACCCCTACACCAACACCGAAAAGCGGGGCCCAAGGCCTGGTGAGCGGTTGGATCAGTCAACACCCATCCTCTTTGCCCGTGGATTCATCAGCTTGAAGCGGGTGACTAATCGTTCCTAATTGGCACTGAGGTGAGTTGGGTCGGTACTGGCGTCACCACGACCAACTAGACAAGAACGTCCACAAGTGACCTAAAGAAAATCCTCGAGTAAAGGAGCCAACTAAAGCAGAGGTTGCTTTGGCCATCTTCCAGCTGAAAACGTGTTTTCTGGGGCTACGTCGACAAGGAGTGAAAGAAGAAGGGAGCGTCGTGAGATTCAAGTAGGGCCAGCGGGGTTTCTTTCATGCTGCAATGATCAGTCGTACGCTGGGGACGGAGTTACCGCGGAGTAAGTTGAGCTGTCTGCCTGTGTGCGGATTGTCTCTTCGCCGAAGTGAGATGGGCTCCTACTGGGTGCTGTACAGATATGGACGTGACTGAATCCATGACGGTGAACGTGGTGATGAAATGGCGCAGGCTCATCCACGAATCGGTTGAGATTGTCTTGCTCCAGGTGAAGAAGAAGTAGAAGGTCCAGATGCGCGACAGCCATCGCGTCAGCGCAAGCGACGAGCTTTAGAAGACCGAGATACTGCGAGAGCACACACTTACACACACCCCCAACCCCCACATGGATGGACGGATGTTTATCTTCATCCTGTGTATGTGTTAGATGTATTTCCTTCTAGTTCTGGATGGAAGGTTTCATCCTCGATTCGGATGGATGAGTTCGAATTCCGGAGCGGATGGATAGTTTCCATTCTTTCTAGCTCTTCTTAAGCTTCACATCCTTTGATTTTTTTGAGCCTTTATTGGAGTGATGGTGGGCCTCGCATAAGTAACTTCGGGACCACCTTTTATTTTCATGTGCATCTGGTATTGAAAGCGTTTTTATTTTGAGCCTGTAGATATTTTTAAAAAATATTGAAAAACATTAAAATATTAAAAAAGATAAATTAAATTCTTTATTGATAAAATTAGATTCAATAATTGTTTTAATATATTTAATTAAATCATCAATTTAAAGTGCCATAAAAAATACATAATAATATCATAATAATATTTTTAATTTAATAATTCAATTTATAAAAAGATAAAGTATTAAAGATTGTAAAAACAAAATTAATTTAAAATGAATTAGAAACTTCTTTGAAACAAAAATGAATATATTGATGATATGTAGTCTAATATATATTTATAATCTAATTTTTGCATATTCCATTAATAATGTATATTAATAGTTGATTACAAAAAAAATTGTGCTTAAAAGAGAAGGTGAGATGATATAAATTGGACATCTTTAAATTGGCAAGAACAAAAAAGATTTATTTGGTTGCTTTTATTAAATTAAAAAAGTAAAAATAAAAATTAAATAAGTTATCATTTAAAAGATATTATCTTAGATAAATTTCTAGTAGTCAAAAGATTGTCTTTTAGGATATAGAAAGACCAATTTATAAATAAGCCTTAAGGTCAAGGGCTAAAAAATAAGGTCAATAGAATAAAAGATGTACCAAAGAATATTCAAAGATTAGATAAGAATACAAAGTATATACTATAGAATATCTTTGTATTAGGTGAGATGTCAAAGAATCCAATGAACATAAAATATATACTAAGATATATCTTTGAAGTATGTGAGATGCCAAAGAATATATTTAATATATTCTTTGATGAATATAAAAGTTAAGAGATAGAAGTTGTCTATTAATGCAACAACTACTACTTATAAATCATGGATGTTGGAAGTGAGAGTCATCTTACTCCATATTTCTTTTTTGTGTGCAAACTTCCTAATATTAAGTGTTAGAACTTCTAATTTATATTTTTTCAATAGATTATGGATCCATTCATCTTTACTTATGACTTTTGAAGTTTAATGAAGTTTTTATTGTTGTCAAGAATATATTATTTTATTATTGTAAATGTAAGGATTTAAAATCTTTTAACTTTTATATTTAGATTTGGTTCTAAATATTAATTTTTTTATTATTAAATATGTTTTAATCTTAGAATTTATTTGATATCTTAAATTAATGTTTTAAAATACTAGTATTATATTTTTTTATTTAGTTAAATCTTTTGTGGATTAAATTTATATTTTTATATAAAAAAAAGCTTAAGGTGCTTAAAAGAGCTTTGATAGTGCTAAGATATATTTTGTGAGTATAGAAGTGATTTAAGAATAAAAAATTTGATAATTGATATTTATATGGCTTATAAGACTTGTAATAATTCTAAACAATGAAGTTGAATGTGATTTCAAAGTGAAATCACTAATTTATACATAAAGAGAGTATTTTAGAATTCTAAGGTAGCAACACTTTTTTGTTGATTTTTAAATCTTTATTATTCTTTTTTTTGATATTTTTTGATATATCTATTTTTTAAATATGCTTTCAAATGAGAGTGAGAGCTCAAAGGTCATTAAGAAGTTTAAAAGAGACAATTTTTACCATTGGAAGAAAAATATGAAGCTTTTATTGGTTACTTTAGATACGGCTCAAGAAGTGATACGTGAAATATTAGGTGAATCTTCAAATATTCTAGTAGATGTAATCGATAAGCAATAGGATTGATTTATTTACACATAAAAAAAAGTTTTTAGCCTACAATAGTCCAACTTATCACAAGGACAAGTAGTCTTGATATTACGACAAATTAACTATATCTTATCACCCACATTGAATTATAAATGCTCTTTTAATAGGCATCTGTATAGGCCTTTTGTCGTTCTTGAGTTTCCTTTAATTGTATCTTCATTGTTGCATATAGCTCTAACAAAAAATTTGCTAAATCTTTCGCCTTAAGATTATCAACTTTTAAAAAGTCAAAAGTATCAAGTCATGGATGATAACCATAATTGGCAAAGAAAGATGTTTTTTGAATAGAAAAATGTACCAAATTATTGTATGTAAACTCTACCAATGGCAAAAGAGTTGTCCAATCATTTTGATGATAGTTCATAGTACACCTCAAATATTGCTGCAAAACTTGATTCATCTATTCCATTTGCCTATCAATTTGAGGATAAAAAGCCAAAGAAAGCTTTATATCTATTTTTAAAATCTTAAATAGGATTCTTTAAAATCTTGATATAAATTGAGTCTCTTTATCTAATATAATATCCTTTGGCAATCCATGATAATAATAGATATTGTTAATAAAAAACTTAGTTGTCTCTTCACTTGAAATAAATTTTGTACATAGTACAAAATGTGCAATTTTAGTGAAGCAATCTATGATTACAAGTATAAAGTCATATGAACTTGAACTTGGAAGATCTATAATAAAATCCATAGAAATAGAAGTCGATAGTTATTCGGGTATAAACAATGGTTGAAAAAGTCCATAGGATTGATGATGAGGAGTTTTTGATCTTGAACAAATGTCACATGACTGAACAAAGTCTTTTACTGCCTTCTACATTTGTGGCCACCAAAAATCTCTGGATATAAGCTCTAAAGTCTTGTTGTATCCAAAATGTCTTGCTGTTGGAAAGTCATAACATGCTTGACGTATACATAAACGTCCTTCTCCTTTTGGAACATATAGGTGTCTTTCAAAATAGAGTAGGTTGTTCTTGAACTTGAACTTTGAAACATCTTTAGACTTAAAAGAAAGTTTCTTGATATCGTGAATAAGAAGATCAAAGGACATACTTGATTGAATTTGTTTAATAAAGGTTGAATCAATAGTCAATGTTGATTTTATTACTCAAAAATGAAAATACTCTAGCTTCAAGAGGATTGTTCTTTATTGATCAAAAGATATGTTTCCTTCTTTTGGTATAAGATAAGAATGTCTAGAAAGAACATTTGATAAACCTTGTTGTTTTCTACGTCAATATGTAATCTTAAAATCAAATCTTAATAATGACATGGTCCAACAAGCTTAGTAGTGATTCTAAACACGTGTTGATATGAAATATTTAATGTTCTTTTGATCTGTATATATTGTGATTGGACTTGAAGTGCCTTCTAGTTAATGACACCATTCTTGAAATAAATCCAAAATTACAAGAAGTTCTTTGTCATGGATTTTATAGTTAATCTTGGCTGTTGAAAATTTCCTGGAATGAAAAGCTATTGGATGAAATTTGTTATTTTTTTCTATTTATGATATTATTATATCCAAAGTAAAGTCTGATTTATCTATTTCTATTTATGACATTACTGTACCTAAGACAAAGTCTGATTTATATGTTTCTATTTATGACATTACTATACTCAAGGCAAAGTCTGATTTATTTGTTTCCATAAAGAATGCCTTAAAAAAGTTGATGTGATATAAAGTTGATGCAAAAGTAAATTCTTTCTTCAAAGCAACAAATAATACTTCAGCTTCTATATTCCACTCAAATTTGTCTTTATAAGTCAAATGTGTAAATGGAGCTGCAATTTGAAAAAAATTCTTGATAAAGATTCAATAATGATTGGCAAAGCCTAAAAAATATTGCACATCTCTTATTATTCTTGAAATCTTCTAATCTATGATAGTTTGGACCTTCTTTGGATCCATCATAAGGCCTTTATTGAAAATAGTGTATCTCAAAAAATTAACGTAAGTAGTATAGAATATATACTTTTTCATCTTCGCATATAATCCTGCATCTCTTAGTTTTTTTAATACATGACAAGCATGAACTTCATATTCTTTTATATTTTTAGAATAGATTAAAATTTCGTCTAAATAACAGATAACAAAATCATCAAGAAACTCACAAAAGACATCATTCATTAGATGTTAGAAAGTACTTGGTGCATTTGTGAGTCCAAAAGGTATGACATTATATTCAAAATGTCTATACTTAGTTTGAAAATCTTCAAGTCCAAAAGACATGATATTATATATTTATATATATATATTTTTTTTCAAAAATGTCTTAAAAATCTTCATATTG